TGCATCTGGCACGCAAGGGGGTGGCGGGGGCCAGGCATACAGAGGTGGCTTCCCCTGTGCTCCTGCAGCAACCACAGGAGGCGGCGACCTTCTAAATGGTTTATAATGCACTGAGGAGACTTTTTCTGGACTCGCTGCAGAAGGCTGCAGTCCCAAAGAAGCTGCGTCTCGAGGGCAGGAGGAGGCCTCACCTGAGTGCAGCGGCTGCACATTCCCCAGGGGCTCCATCCTGCCTTCGGAGGCCTAGGGCAGAGCACCGGCCTCCCCACACGGCGGCTCAGCCACTGTGGTGCTCCTCAGGCTGGGCCGGGGGCCCTCCTGGAAGAGGCTGCCCTCGGTGCTCAAGAGGGCCACACACCCCCCATCGCTTCCGGCTCGGCCCACCTCTTCTGAGGGAGTGCCTGGCTGGGAGGAAGGGGCACGGGAGCAGGCAGTCGTCAGAAGAAAGGTCCCCCGAGCTCCAGCACAGCTCCAAAGGTCACTTCATATCTCCCCCAGGTCTTCATACACAGCAGCTGGCCGGCTCTCGTCCACTGACTGCTCGTGTCCTGAAGGGTCGGGGGCCGAGGGCGGCTTGAGCACACGGCTGTAGATGGGGTCTCCACCATTGTTGCTGTTGTTGCTGTTACGGCACCCCTCCAGACCCAGGGCGGGGGCTGCTCTGGGCTTGCTGGCCTCCAGCTGAGAGGACTTCTTGTGCGCCCGGGGAGGCTTGGGGGCAGGGCTGGGCCTTGGGGGCTTCAGCCCGGCCTTTTGGTGGAAGGCGGGGACGGCATAATCGCCGGTTCCGGGAAGGCAGGGCAACTCATAGCCAGCTTGGCTCTCCAAGCCCTGAGTCCGCCAGGCCTCGCGGGGGAGGCGTGCCTCATCATAGATGGCAGCCGAAGCGGGAGTTGGCCACGGGGCCCTTCCCTCGGGCTCGTCGTAGATGTGCAGCTTGCTGCTTGGGAGCCCGTGGCCCCCACCAGTCTGTGACCTTGGCTGCTGCTCCACCAGGCTGGAGTCCCGGGCTCGCCCTTCTTCCTCACGCTGGCTGTCGACCGGGTCGGCATAGAGGGAGTCTGGCCTGAGCCGAGCACCCTTCACAGCATCCAGAGGCTCAGAGTAGACGTTGGCGGTGTCCTCCAAAGGGCCAGGCACCCCGGGGAGGGGGGACCAGAGAGAGGAGCTCGGCCACTGGCCAGGTGAGTCCCAGAGGCTCTGCCCTTTGGCTGGTTCCTTCTCCTCCGCAGTGACGCTGGGCTTGGCTGCCGGAGCGCTCCTGGGTACTCGTCTCTCAGGAGCAACAGTGCCCTCGCCCTCCAGGCTGAGGGAATTTGCCATGGCATTCTGGAGGTAGAAGACGCCAGGGGCCTCCATCTCAAGGGAGCTGTTGCTCTGCCGATGCTCTTCCACCTGGGCCTTCTGAGCCTGAATGGCCGCCTCCACAACATGGAAGATCTCGTTCCCCTGCTTGGTCTCAAAAGTGAAGTTGCCAGGACCGGATTCACAGCGCCGGCCAGCTTCGAAGGAGAACATCACCTGCAGGGAGGAAGTTGGACTCCATGATCAGCCAGGGCCAGCTCAGGGTATGTGGGGGAACACCCTATGAGCCCCTCATTCATAAAGCGAGCATCAGGGATAATAAGCTCATAGGGAGTTCCCCTCTGGCTGAGCAATTCCAACTCTTCCCTGGTTCCCAGGTCTCCACAGCAGGACAAGGCAAAACCTAAACGCCCTCTGCCCCAAACTCCCAGTGCCCTTCCTGCCCAACAAGCTCACCTTGTCCCTGCCATATCTGCGGAGGAGCCGATAAGGCCACGTATAGAGTGGCAGGTTGGAGTGGGCCTCTCTGAGGAGGAGACTGCTCCGAGAGGCCTTCAGCACATATGTCCCTTGCAGCTTGCAACGCTCAGCGGCTTCAGTCTTCTGCACCGTGACCCAGAATTCATTCACTGCAGCAAGGGGGAGAGTCAGTGGAAGGCGGTCCTTGCGGAGGGAAAACCAGGCACCACCACCCCGTCCCTTGCAGAAGTGGGGGTGGGAGAGCACATAGCTTCCCAGAGATAATTTAAGGGCATCCTGTCCTTCCTGCCCACCTCAGTAGCTCCCAATCCAGGGTGCAGTTTTAAAACAGGGAGCAATCCCACCTCCCAGCCGTGTCCTACAGCAGCTGCGCCTGTGCCACTGAATAAAGGTTTCCGAGGGGGACCAGCTGGAACATCCAAGGTACAGAACAGAACATGCCAGCCACCACTCGGCCATCAAGTCCTACCTTCTTCTCTTGAGTAGTAAATGGAGTTCATGGCCATTTCCAGGTCCCGTTCCCCAACGTTCTCTGTACCAGACAGGGTCGTTTTCCCAGGGTTAGTCTGCAATGAGGTTCATAAAGTGTTTCAGCGACAGCCCTGGCCTAATGCTTAAGCAAAAGGAGCTGTATCTTCCTTCATCCCAGAGGCCTTGACAGGATTGGCAACTGCTCTGGTGTCAAGAGTTCAGATCCTAATTTTGGGGGCCCACAAGTTGACTATCTGCTCTGTGCAGGAATCCAAGTAAGCTCCCCAACAGAGAGCTTTCTAGCCTCCAGATGAACATATCTGGTGACGGGGAGCTCACAAGAGCACCAATCTTGCCACAGGGAGTTTTTCCTAACATTTAGCCAGCCTCCCTCCCTGAACTTGCGGTTCCGGAATGAGAGAGAATGAGCCGTGACCTTTAGATGCTTGAAGACAGCCCTTGCATCACCCTCCCAATTTCCTCACTGTCTTCTTACAGGACTCCTGTTACAGCTGGTTCCTTTCCACGAACTTGCTCCAGGTTGGCTGCACCCTTTTTAAAATATGGTCCCCAGAACTAGACATAGTACTAACTTCGGGTCTGACCAAACCCAGAACACCTTACTTGGCAACATAAAATCTGGAGGACTCTCACAACAGGCCAAGTAGGGCATCACTTGGTCACCTCACCCTCACTCCCCTCAGCTTCTGCATGTAGCAGCCCACCCATCAATGTCTCAGGGCCTCCTTTTCCTTACCTCCTGTTAGCTGTTGTTGCTGCCAGTGGCCTTGACTTTCTCCCACCTTCCCACCCCAAAACACATCTGCTCAGAACATGCACATTTCAGGCCCTGACAAGACACCACACACACACACACATGATCCATCCCTGGACAAAAACATCTTCTGGTCTGGGCAGAGGCCACCCAGAAGCGTTTGCCCTTGCACGGGTGGGTCTGCACCCAAAACGCTTATTGTTTTATCTTTGTTTTGCCCGCTACCCCTCATCCACCACCTCATGCTCACCAATCCCCACTCACCAGAAAGGCCGTCTCGCAAAGCTTAGCTACCCAGTCCGCCGCCTCCTGTGGGTCAGTGGCAAAGACGTACGCGCGGTCACTGGTCTCCAGGCGGAAGGCAGCCATGCCCTCCTTGGGGCTGCAGTCCGAAACAGGAGCCACACTCACACAATCTGCCAGCCGCACAATCTTCTTGTCTAGTCTCTTGGTACCAATTCGGTCAGCTGCAGCAGCCCCCTCCTTGCAGTCAAAGAACTCCAAACGAGCAATCCCATGAGGACTCGCTGGGTACAGCACAAACCAGCTTTTCTTCCACCGCTGCAAACAGAGACGGCCTGTGAAACCAGGTCAAGAACAGGGGGGCCAGCAAGAAGGCGGCCTTCCTTCCAAATTCATTCATTCATGCATTTTACATAGATGAAACAATGCCCAACTCTAACCCTAACCCCAACCCTAAACCTCAGGGAACCAGGCCCCATACCATGAAGGTCTTTATAGGTAATAACCAGCACCTTGAATTGCACCCAGAAGCCAACTGGTAACCAGTACAGCTTGTAGAGCAGTGGGGTGACATGGGCATAATGACATATGCCCATCACTGCCCACACTGCTGCATTCTGAACCAGTTGAAGCTTCCAGGTGGTCTTCAAGGGCACTTGAAGAGCATACTGCAGTAATCCATTCATGAGGTGATTAACATATGATTGTCTGAAGGGCCTCCCTGTCCAGGAAAGGGTGCAACTCATGTACTAGATGTACCTGTGCAAAGGTATTCCTGGCCACAGCAGCCACCTGCTCTTTAAGTCCAAGACAACCCGCAAATTGCACACCAGTCTTGAATGAGGAAATGCAACCCCATCTAAAACAAAACATGGAAGATCCCCAAAACTGGGGCTCCAAATTTCTCCTGCCACTCACTACTGTCAGCATGGAGTCTGAGTATGTTCTGTCCCATCCAGACACTGGGACAGGACATTAAACGCATTGTGGGGTTGAGATTTATAATTGGGCATCATTTGCACAGTGACCCCAGACCAACATGGTTTCATGTAGATATGTTGAAAAAGAGAGTGTTGAGCCCTGCAGCACCCCAAAAATGACGGGCTGTGGACTCAATCTCTTCCCCCTCCCCCCAGTACCAACTGGATCTGGCCACTCCAAACCCCCACAGCCTTTCCAGAAGGATATTGCAATCCATGGCCTTGAAAGCTGCCAAGAGATCAAGGGGCACAAGGATGGATACATCATCCTCATTCCAGCTCCGCCAAAGGTAATCAACAAGCGTGACCAATGCTGTCTCAGTACTACATCCCAGCCTGAAGCCTGACTGAGACAGGTCCAGATAATCCATTTCCTCCAGGATCCCCTGGAGCTTTTCCCGGACTACCTTCTCAACAACCTCCCCTAGAATAGGAAGGTTGGAAACTGGATGAAAATGGTCCAGGACCATGATGGCTTTTTAAGGAGAGGGCACACCACTGCTTCCTTTAAGGCTGAGGGAGCCAGCTCCTCTCTCAAAGAAGCTGACACCAACAAGTGGGCTCAACCAGAGGTCACCTCCCAGGCAGCTTTAAGAGCCCAGGAGGGACCTGGATCTAATACACCGGTTGCCAAACGCACCATCTGAAAGACCCTGTCCCCTTCATCAGGAGTCAGACTCAAACTCACTCCAGATAAACCCACAAGAATGTGCCCCAGGCACCTCAACTGGGCTCGCCCAGCTAAGTCCAACTCTGAGCAAATCTGAGCATCTTTATCCGCCAGATAATGAGAATCTTCTTCACAACAATCCAACAAATGTCCCGGTGCTTCGCCCTTCCCCAGCATGGATTGAGTTACCCTAAATAGTGCTGCTGGACGGCTAGTGGCAGACACAATGAAAGTGGAAGAATTAACACTTTAATTCTTAGCTCTTTCAAGCATGTGATTCAGGAATGAGTCAGAGGTCACTGAAGAGGAGAAAAAATGCTCAGATAATTAGGGGCTGCTTCTTAAGAACACCTGCAGACCCAGGAGCTGCACTGGCCAAAGGCGTCCCCAGTTCTAATCCCAGAGAGATCAACAAGATGCGGGAAACCGCCCACCACTCTCTTCCCCAACTGCTGATATCTCCACCCTGCCTACAAGCCACAGAGAGCCTTCTCTTCTGCGACTGGTCTAGTCACTACATGGTGGGGTAGGAATTCCACAACCAGAGTACCGGTTGTCCTTCCTGTCCCCTGCCCTGAAGCGCACCATTCAGTTTTAGGCAGGGCTCTCACTAGACCTGGGGGGGGGGAACCTCCTCTGTTCAGAGCACACATCCCACCCGTCCACGCCTTGCCCATCTAAGCCGAAAGGCCAAGGATCGCACACAAACTACTGCAGTCCCTTGCTCGCTCAGCTGGCTCTCTTCGGTCCCTCCCACGCTCTACAGTACAACAGCAGCCGTCTAGCAGTTTGGCTCACTCTGCAGGTCTCTATCACGACAGGAGAGCATTAGCCTTTCCAAATTATCCCCAGCATGGAATTTGCCCTTCTCAGGGCAATGCGGGGGGGAGCCAGCTCTCATTTACAGGGTTTCAAGGTCCCTTCCCTTTCTAGTTCAGATCCCACCGGAGTGTCGGTCATATCAGAAACACTTTCCCTCAGGACACCTCTCTTCTTGCTTGCTTACAGGGAGGTAATTCCATTTACCACTCGGAAACCTATTCCTTCCCTTGTGGGAGAGTCGTCAAACTGGCGTCCTCGGTATGCTCTCCCCGATTCCACACACTTGGGCATTTCATAAATCACCAACGTCAGGACAGAACCATGAAGACTTCTGCCTCTTTCTGCTGCAAGCATTAGGTGCTCATACCCGCCCCAAAGTGGAAGAACCCGCTTCGGCTTGCAGGCAAGGAAGGGGTTTGGCGTGGCCTGCAGAGGAACCGTTCCCTGGGCTCAGGTCGCTGAAACATGCTGAGGCCCTCTTGACCTTCACCTCCATCTCGAGAAGGTTCTTCTTTCAAAATCAACTGGGACTGTTTTACAGCTCCTTATGTCCTGAGCTTGTTGCCACTGGGATCAGCTTCCAATCAATACAACAGCTCTGATACTTTGCAAACAGTCCCAGGCGTCGCTGAGGATCGAGTCCAAAGCTACGCAGCATACCGGGTGCAGGATCGTCACTTACGGCACACACAGTAACATCACCTCTCTGTGACCAAAATGTGGCTGTGTCTAATCTGTGGCCGCTGGGGTTAACCATTATTAAGACATTTCTTTTGGGGTACCTCTCTGATTTTGTTCTGCAGCTCAGTGCTTCCCAGAGTGTTTTGGTCTGGGGGATGAAAGAGCTCCCTCTGTCTTTTTTTCCAATTTTTCACCACCTTCCCATTCCTAGGGCACTAAAAATGGTTAAGCTACTTTGAGGGCTTAATAGGGTCACTTGAAGGTAGTCTGGGGAGCACCTACCACTTTTGAGGACTTTTATTTGTCACCTGTCCTAGCCTTCTTTAAGAGGTTGGATCCAGAAATACCATATCAACAACCATCTTCTCCATCCCACCAGGTTTCCTTTTTCCATGGTACGGTTGCTCCTGATCCACCCTCCCGACCTACAGCCTCCTGGCATTGACATAAAATGCCTCTCAGGAGATGATTTCACCCAACAGAAAGTCCCCAGGGTTCACTTTCAAAGCTAATTAGTCTCCTTGTTGTAACCGCCCAAAAATATATGGATTTATTTTATTAAAATTATAAGGCCACCCAACTCTGCAGCAACTCTGGGCAGATACAGTAAAAATGCCGATGGAAGACAGATAAAATACCAGTAAGAATCCCCAAAGATCTGATCCAAACACATCATTCCTGACAGAAAGACACAGAGGACACCCCGCTCGCTCAGCCAGAGGCCTGAGGAGAGCGCCACATTTTCAGTGCTCTTTTAAAACAAGTAAGGTGGGGGTCATGCACGTTTCTGTGGAAATGCTGCTCCCAAGGGCAGGTATGGCAACAGAGAAGACCTGCCTCCTTGATCTTGCCAGACGCACTGCTTGGTTGGCGGGACCAGGAGGAAGCCAGCGCTGCCAGATCTTCCCAGCTGGGAAAAATTTCCCGGTCTGGTCTACACCCCAGTGACCCAGGCTGCTGCTTTCTGGGCCAGATGCACCTCCAGAGTCGTGTTCAAGGGCATCCCCACATCGAGTCCACTGTCACAGTCCAAAGCATGAGTCGGTGTCTAAAGGGTCTCCCGGTCAAGGCAACTGACACGCGAGGTGGATCTGCACACAACGGCTCTCCTGGCTGCAGCCATCCCCTGCTGCTCTAGCGGGAGCTGTGGGCCCAAGAAGACCCCAAACTGTGCACCAATCCCAAAGACCTGGATGTGCTCCAGGGTCTGGAGATCTTCGTTGTTTATTTTGTCTGGGTTTACCCCCACTATAAAACTATTTATTTAAATTGATTAAATATAAGAGGAGAGCGCAACCCTGCTCAGGACTAAAGATGAAAAGTTAACCAGCTCAGTAATCCGCTCTTCGACACTGGGGAACGAACTCCACGGGAGAAACTGAGCCAACAGAATCCTGGGGAGTTCAGCAATTTAGCAGCAACCTGGTAAGTAAGGCCAAAAGATGACATGCTGTAAAGCCCAGCTGGGACACAAGGCTCCTGAGATGAACTGGAAACGGATAAGGCGGGCACCGTAGCCACCAGCAGCGCTGCCCTCTGGCTCCTGCTTTCCTTCTGATTCCCTTGCAACCACCCCCACAAATTGAAGGGCTGCGGGGATGCGCCCCTTTCACAACTGACCTCTGGACTGGAACGGCAGGAGCTGCCTTCTACAGCCCCGGGTCTTGGGCTCCGCCACTCTGGAGACCAAACCCACGTGCAGGAGGGAACAGCCCCACCTCTACAGAACAAGCCCCCCTCCCCAGGTGGGAGATTAGTTCCCCCTTTAACCCGCATTCAGGAAGATCTTTGGGCCCAGAGTGTTGCCGGCTCGCATCAGTTCTTTTTTTTTTTTTAACGGTTAGCCTTGGTTTTCTCTTATAATTACACCGCGTGTGTGCTGTTTCAAGCAAACGGAGATACTTATTGCCTACATGGCTCATGTACACCAGCGGCTTTCAAACTTTTACACGTTGGGCAACATGGCCGTTGAAGAAACATTCCTGGACCGCGCAGCTAAGAGGCAGAGCTGCAGGGACAGAAAACGGGCTGGGGCTGAGAGGGCTCGTCTGCGCTCCCCCGTTAGCCTGCCAGGAGCGCCGCCCCACACACGCCGGGGCCGCAGAAGAGTCTGAAGAGCCGAGCTACGCCCCCCCGTGGGAAGCTCTAGAGGACGCGTCCCGAGAAACAAAGCGTGCTCGACCCAG